CCCACGTGTCTACTGGCACAGACCCCAGACATTGGCCCAGACCCCGACCCTGACAAGCTCTGTGCCCCGCCTGCAACCCACGCCGGAGTCCCAGCCCACCCCATCCCGTGCTGCAGGATGCCCTATTAAGGGCATGGCTTCGGGGGCTCAGTAGAGCCTGCCCGCCCCTTTCGCGAACATTCAGCCACAGGTTGAGGGCAGGGGCGGGGGGACCCCGGCAAAAAGGCCAGTGAGTGCCCGGATTCTGCGTGGCTAGCCAGGACAGCCACCTCAACAAGGTGGTCAGCAGCCAGCTGTCAGTCTGGCAGACACAGAGCTGGGTGGCCGCCCAGAGGGTGGGCAAGGTTTGGGGGTACAGCATACCTTTGTACTTCTCCCGCACCTCTTCGTAGGCCTGGATGAAGTCCTGCTCGTCTGGTGGCGGGATGGACGTCCGGAGGGCGGCCATGCCTGCGGGCATGGGACTCCGGACGCGCAGTGACAGCCTCTGGCCCGGGCTGCCGATCTGCCCCAGCAGCTGAGGCGCGTTCGGCTTAAAGAGGCCGCCCCTGCCCCGCCCCGCACCCAGGATGCCCCACGGGAGGGACGGGGCGGGGCTGGTCCAAGACAGCTCTGTCCCTGGAGCTGGCCCGTGCCTGCGCGGAGCCTGGTCCCGTGCGCGCGCATCCCGGCGGGCGCACGCCCCTGCCTGCTACCCACAAGTCGCCGACTCCTTGACTCTCCTTCCCTGAGGTCCTAGTCCTGTGACAGCCACTTCCCGGATCAGCCCCAGCCTGTGTAGCAACCCTCTGTGCTCCAGCCAGCGACCTCACCTGGCCACCCTTGTGCCACTTTCCCTTTTCCCTCCCTTCCTCCTTTTTTTAGAATTCTGTTACAACCCTGAAGACAATCCTGTTGGTCTCTCTAATGTATAAAACGCCCTTAGGTGGGCGTGGTGGCGCACCTCTGTAAATCTGTAATGCCAGCACTCGGGAAGCTGAGGCAGGAAGATTGCAGTGAGTTCAAGGCCAGCCTGAACTACAGAGCAAGACCCTGCCTAGAAAGAAAGAAAGAAAAAGAAAAGAAAAAAGAAAAGAAAGAAAGAGCTTAAAACACAAGAAAGGAATTACACATAGGAGGACTGGAGTAGGCAATTTACAGAACAACAAAAAGTTTGGTAATAAATGAAAGAATAATCCTTTCCAACCATCACATTGGCAAAGCCTTCTCTGTCTCCCAGAATTTTCCAAACGTCCTTCTTCCTGGAACGACCTGGTAATATTCCTCCAAACCTTAAATGCTTGATGACCTCAAAGCAGAAGTCCCCTTCTGAATCCCCTGGTAATAGTCCTCCAAACTTTAAATGCTGCATGCCCTCAAAGCAGAAGTCCTAAGAAAATCATCAAAGAACACAAAAACCCTGCCAGGGGCTGCAGGCTACAGCACAGCTAGAGCCAGAGAATGCTACAGACCACTAGAGCCAGCAGCAGGGACTGCTGAGGGTTCCTACAGCCCTATCCCATTCCTTCACATCTTGAAATGTTCAGGAGGTGGGGAAGGATATTCATAATTCCTTTTCCGGTGGGAAAAAAATGACCTCATTCTTTAAAATCCCATGAGAGATGAGAAAGATCAGAAGGTCACCCACAAGCACCTGGGCCTCTGGGGTTTGGCATAGTGACGAGTCCATCATCCTTCTCTGCTTCTGTTCCCATGAGTTCTTGCTGTACATTCCCCAGTGACAAAGTTCCCTGATGCCTGCAGGTCTACCTCCCCTCTAGGAAGGTGGCCTCCAAGCCTCTCCCCACATGCCTTGGTCCACCCTCTTCGGTTCCTGCAGGAATGACCTCTGCCCTCCAGATGCCTCACCATGCCCCTGGGAGTCCTAGAAGATGGAATGGGGTCAGTACTCACTTTCTCAGCACATCCTGCCCAATGACCTCTAGCCCTATGGGTGACCCACTTCCCAAAGGGACTGGCTGCCCTCCAACTAACCATCCTCCAACTGCCCACCACCTCTCTCTGGGCCTCTCACTGGATCTCTCCCATTCTCCTCCTCAGACTGGCAGCTAATGTAGGACAAGGCTGGACCCTGGCTCAGGGATGGTGGGGCTCTCATTGGCCAGATATCCTGTCCTGCCCTGCTCCTGTGCACATCTACCCCCATGTGGCCGTCACCAGACTAGGAGCCTGGTGAGCACTTTGGACCCAGAGGCCCAGGCAATGATCACTCATATCAAGGGCACTGGACCTTTGTCAGGAAGCCAGCAGAGCTTCGCAAAAAGCCAGGTTTCTGCCCTCTCACAGCTGCCCGGGCCAAGACAGCAGGTGTCGCTGTGCTACCTGCACTTACCTGGGACCAGAGAGGCCCCACCTGAACTGCAGATCCCCTCTGGCCACTTCTAGTCCAAACACTTGCACAGAGCACACAGCAGGTAGTCAATCAACAGTCCTGTGCTAATGAACCAAGCTGACCAGGCCTTTCCACCTTACCTGCAATTCGAATGACAGCCCGCTCAGCAGGGTCCAAGACACTCCCATTGCCTCCAGAGCCACCTCCACTACGCCGGCTCCGCTGAGTTTTCCCAAGGTTCCAAGGCAGTGTGTCCCCAGGGCTAGGGGAGCCACTGCCTCCATTGGAGCCACCTTCAGCCACTGCTCGCACTTCTGAGTCCTCGCCCGACATGGCCTCCTGAAAGGACAGCAGGAGGGTCATACTTCTGCTGGTGAGAAATAGATACTGCACACTGACATACCTACCACCTCCTCAACCTAGACAGTGACTACCTTAACACTGACACCATGCCTCTCCTAGATGTTGACAATTTCTCCCCTCCTGCACATCCAGCCTTCTCCTCAGATACCAGCACAGGGACCCTCTTCAAATAATGACCTCACGCCCTCCTGTGTAACACCACAATACTGACCACCCTCTCCACTCCACACATTGACTGCCACTCTCTTCACCCAACTACTGACCACCCCTATCACAGGACACCAGTTCCACCCTCCCTGTCAAGTGGAGGGAGGGGGTAATTACTTTCACTTGGACACTGACACCAACCAACACCCCCTCCCCCACACTGGCTTCCAGGCTCTGCATCCCAACCCTGGATTCCCTCCCCTCAAATCTTCCAGTGAGCAAGCAAGGGAAGCCATCCACAAGCACTGGCATGTCCCCCTACTCTCCTGTTTTCAGAAAGAAGCCCCCCCCCAAGCGCGCCCTCCCACACCCTGGATGCTGGTACTCTACCTCCAAGCAGTCTCCATCTGTAGGACTCCCCACCACCCCACCCCACCTCCAGCCCGGTACAGTCCCACCTCAATCTCTGCAGAGAAGGCCTATAAATAGCTGGAGCCGCAGCGGCGTGGGCCGCGGGAGCGAGGCTGCGGCAATGCTGAGGGGAAAACTAAGCCACTGCTCCAGCAGCCCACCCTGCTCCTTGCAAGCGTAGTCAGGGCACATGCATACCCACGCGTGCACAAGCCCCAAGGGCGCTGGCGTGCAAGAGGTGAATGGGGCTCTGTCTCTGCGAGGGTGGGGTGTTGTGCGCACAATGTGGGCTCTGTGCCTCCTCCCTCAACCCAAGGGCTGGAGAGGAGAGTTGGAGGGCCCCCTCCCCAAGGTCCCTCGGCCTCCCCGGGACCGTCTCTGCTCCAGCCCCAAGCCCGGCGCAGCAGTCTTCCCTATCCATACCCCCGACACTGCCCGTGCAGTTCCGCAACCTCCAGGGCGCTGGAAGGTACTCCCCTTCAAGGGACCACAGGATGGCCTGCGACACAGCCCCTAGTTCCGGGTGGGTGGCCTGCAGCTAAGATCCCACTCCAAGCCCGCACCTCCCGCAGGCCGTGCACCTCTCCCTCCCTGCCGAGTCCTACGTGCCAGGTGGCTCCGCTCGCCTCCACTCGGCCGCTGTAGCCAGACTGCCCGGGCAGGCGCCGGGGAAGACGCGGAGGCAGCCCAGGCGGGGCGAACCCAGAGCCCCGCCCCGGTCGGGCCGGCCCCGACGGAGAGCCGAGCCGCGCCACGAGCACCACCAAAAGTGTGCAAGCGAGCGACAACCCTGTGTAGAAGGGCTGGGAATCCCCGAGGCTACCGAGCGGCACCCGCGGTGGAACTCCGCAGGGAGGCGCTCGCTAGGTGCGCGCACCTCCGTCCCGCGCAGTCTTCTCCCCGTGCGTGCAGGGCGGGCCGGTCGGCAAGGATACGCCGCTGGGAGAGCGTGCGTGCCACCAGGACAGCGTGGGGTCGCCCCGGTGCGCGGGGCCCCGCCCCGCAGCCGCAGCCTTGGTCACCTGCTTACCACAGCCAGCGCCCCGAGAACAGCAGACCCCGACCCTGGCCGCGACGAATCCCCTATTCCCCAAACAGAGGACGGATTTCGAGCTCCCAGAGGCCCTTCCGCTCATTCACGTACAGGTTTTATTCAAAGACTGAGCCGCGCTCGGGCGAGATCGGGCCAAGACGGGCGTGCCCAGCCGGCGCACCCTCCCGCTGGGCTCTGCTGACCCCTGGTGGTGGGTCCGATGCAGGAGGGCGCCGGCCCAGCGCTCAGGGTCCACTTGTCCCCTGCTAGCTAACGCCTACGGGGCTGTGGAGAACGGCAATCTGAGGAGCAGGTCAGGGGCCTAAAAGCCCAAGAGAGGTGGCACGGGAAGCGTGGGGCAAGCGCTTGCAGGTGATGAGGTGGGTGGGCAGCGCCTGGGTGTCGTGGAAAATGACAAAGATGCTGGGCTGCTGGAGGCAGTTCACAGCGCTGTCATAGCGCAGGAGGGTGTGGCCGGCCCGCAGAGGGGGCGCCCGCAGACTCCGGCAGCCTTGCCCATAATCGCCTGTCAGCACTCGTGCCACGAAAACTGCCTTGTGGCCATCGTCGTTGGGGGGCGAGTATCGGTCCTGTACAGACAGGGAGGCGCGCTTGGCGAAGTACACGCCCCGCCCGTAGAGTGTGCCTACAGGGTGGTACAGGCAAACAGAAGTCAGACTATTCGGATCGGCTGGCCCCAGCCCCTGCCCGGCCCAGGCCTCACCGTTGCGGCCACAGAAGCTTCGGTTGAAGCCGTGCTCACAGATCTCAGGCACTGTGGACGCCGACGTGCCGTGGTACAGGACCTGCTCTGCAGGTTGCTGTGTGCAGCGCTGCACCAGACGATCCCGGTGCAGCTGGTACTGCTGCTCCAGCAGCGGGTGTGACACTCGCTGCACCTGCCAGGTGAGTGGCAGTCAGGGCTGGGCTATTGGAAGTTCCTCCTTACACCGGGGACTGACCCAAAACAGAGCTGAGTTCCGCCATCAGGAGCCTTCTGGTGGAGGAATTTAGGATCTGGGAAAGACCTTGTAGCCCCCAACATGATACCTTCATGGGGCAAGTCACATCAAAAGGCTTCCAGGGGGCCCCGGGATTTAGCTCAGTGGTTCTGGCCTGCCTCGAAAGCGCAAAGACCCGAGTTCGATCCCCGGTACAAAAAAAAAAAAAAGGGTTCCAGGGATGCCTGATCCCTCCAGGGAGGACTGCAGTTGGTTAAACTCCATGTGCTCACCAGAAAGCAGAACCTACAGCTAAGCCTCTTCAGGGAAAAGCCCAGCAGGATGCCTACACTGCCCTCAGGACTTCATTCCCTACACCAGATGCCCGAAGACCTCAGTGCTGGAAGACCCAGGTAGGAGATAAGGCCTCAAGTGGCTAACCCAACCATCAGTCCTAAGGGAACAAACTCAGAAACCTAAACAGATAGAATTTTTTTTTGTTTTGCTTTGGGTTTTTGTGGTTTTTGTTTGTGTGGGTTTTTTTGGTTTTTTGTAGGGGGATCGAACTGAGGACCTTGTGATTGTGAGATTATGAGGCAGGCACTGGAACCACTGAGCTAAATCCCTGGCCTGTTTTGCTTTGGTTTTGAGACAGGGTCTCTAAGTAATTCAGGTGATTCTTGAACTCATTGTGTAGCCCAGGCTGGTCTCGAACTCATGGCAGTCACGCCTCAGCCTCCCAAGTGCTGGGATTACAGCCCCTGCATCACCACACCCGGCTTCTCTTTTTTTTATGGTACCGGGAATCATACTCGGGTCCTTTTGCTTATGAGGCAGGCGGCAGAACCACTGAGCTAAATCCCCAGCCCATGGCTTCCTTTTTTATTTATTGCCAAAATTTTTAAAGGAATTCTGGGGGCCGGGGATCTAGCTCAGTGGTTTCACAGCCTCCTGCGCAAGTGCAAGGACCCGAGTTTGATCCCTGGTACCAAAAAAAAAAAGAATTCTAATTAGTTTCTTCAGAATGATGCAAAAGGATACCACGTCCATAAAACAAGACTAATTGCTATGAAAGTGTCTAAAAAATAAGAGTTCTCTCATTAGGAATGGGATTGCTAGGCTGAAGGTTCAGCTTACTGGGTTGGACCTCCAGCACAACTGGAGAAGGAGCGGAAAAAGAGGAGGAGGAGGAGGAGGAGGAAGAAGAAAGAGGAAAAGATTGCTGAGCAAAGTTCTGTGAGTGAGCCAGATAATGATGGTTAAAGACACAGCCAGAGGGTGGAGATAGAGATAAAGAAATGATGCAGAGAGCAGAGCTACAGGAATGATGAGTGAACAGGTGGGTGAGGCACATGAAGGAAGGAAGTCTGCCTCACAGGACTTTCCCCAGAAGACAGGAGGCAGTGATGAATGGGACCTGGACACACAGTGAAGGACCATTTCCCTGAGTTGAGGGCAACATCTCCAGATGGGGAGAAGCCAAGAAGAGTGATGAAAAAGACATACCTCTGGAGCCTGACAGGAAACCCTCAACCTTTGAAGTGAAGAAAACTTTACAAGCATATGCCATGGCCAATATAAAAGAGGAAAGAAATGTCATATTGGGTTTCTCACCACCAAGACAAGATGTTAAGAAACTATGGAGGGATTTTTTTTTAACTTTACACATGTCTCCCATATGCCTGGTCTCCTGAGTCCTTCCTTCTCAGGTCTTCTTTCTTAACTTCCTGGGTGGGCTGGGGCTTCTGGGCTTCACTCTGGCTCCCCACCAATTATTCCTAGCCTTTTTGGGAAACATGTCCATGCTCAGAGTTACCAGATTTAGCAAGTAAGAATACAAGAAAATACAGAAAGTGGGACTAGGGGTGTATTTCATGGTAGCGCACTTGCACAATGGGTTTGATCTACATACATGTGCAGAGCACGCACATACACACATGAAGAGGCAGTGAGCCCTGCCTGGCCCTTTACCTGCTGAAGTGACCTCTATTGGAGGCAGAAGAGCCCTCAGACAGAAAAAAGGGGATCATCTGTGGGAATAAGTAACCCTCCCAGTGGCCACGAGATGACATCACCACCCCATGATCCAGATAAGGATATGTGGCAGGGAGAAGGCCATACACCATTCAGGAGGGAACCTCACTCAGGCCTCAGATCCCAGGCCTCCCCTAACCTCTCTGTTCTTTGGTCTTCTCCATCAGACTTTGTGAACACCCTCTGGGCAGGAATGAGGCTGGAGACCTGTTGGGAGCAATGCTACATAATTCTAGGGAGGGCCGGGGATTTAGCTCAGTGGTTCCGGTGCCTTCCGAGCAAGCTTAAGGTCCTGAGTTGATCCCTGGTACCAAAAACAAAAAAACAAACATAATTCTAGGGAAAAATCATTTGAGTAGGCCTAGTTCTCCTGCCTACAGCCCAGCTAGGACATTCCAGACATAATTGCATTTTGGCCTCAGGTCACAACTGAGACCTCAGTGATCCCGGACGCTGTAATGCTCCAGGACAAGACCACACCTGCACCTGCGGGAGACGCCAGGGAGAAACCAAATCTTCATCTGCATAGTTCCTCATTGTTCTTAGATTTCCACTGCCCCCCAGTCTTTTGTTACACCTTGTTTATCCCAATGTGAAGTACTGAACTCTGCATTTCACTTGTTACATCTGTTTCCCCATGTACTGAATAAAAGGTGTTGCAAACTGGGGGGGGGGGGTCTTTGCCCCCCAGAGCAGCACTGATCAGACCCAAAGCTCAGCTTCTTCTCAGTCTCATTTTTCTACCTTTCCTGTAATTCGTCGTGTGCTGCCATGGCTCGAAGGAGACTAGGACTTACTCCAGAGGTTCTAGTAATGTCCCCTCCCCCTGTTCCCTACATTTGGCGCCCAACGTCTGGAATGTCCTAGCTGGCCTGTAGGCAGGAGAACTAGGCCTACTCAAATGATTTTTCCCTAGAATTATGTAGCACTGCTCCCAACAGAGACCCCCTAGTCCTTTCTTATCACCAGGTCAGCTTCCAGCCTGCCCACACTCCTGGCCAGCTGACCCTGATGCAGGGAGTGTGACAGCTCACAGGGAACCATGAGGCCAGTGAGCAGGGTGTAGACTCACCTGGATGATGCAGATTCTGCTGTGGGCAGCATCCAGGGAGTCGCAAAAAGCCTTCACCACTTCCTGGAACTCCCTGGTACTCTCTGCCAGGCTCTCCAGTCTCCCCAAGGGCTCCTCCAGCCTCTGCTCTGGCACTAATATATGAGGAGAGAGGTGTCAGGGCCATGCCTGAGGCACTAGCCCAATAGCCACCACCCATCCCACTCCCAGCCCAAGGCACAGACTCACAGGTGGTGTCTGAACCCCCAAAGGGGAAGGCCAAACTCGAATTCCAAGGGCCAGCAAGAAGTGCAGCTAAGTGTCGGGCTGCACGAGCAGGCTGGGCCCCAAAGCCACGGAGGAGGATGCTGTCACCTTGTGGGGCAACACTCACACCATGGTACCGTTCCAGGGGAGCACACAGTTCTTCAGGCAGCACATGGCCCTGGAGCCTCACTGTCTCCTCCTGGAGGTGTTCCTCCAAGGCAGTCATTAGTGCCCGGTCCAACTCCTCCACATCCTGCTCAAAGGGCACGTGTACCACCAGTTGGGCCCCATTACCAGTACTGCCACCCAGGGGCTCTTCTGCCTCCAACAGGGACAGAGCCAGGGCTCGCCTTAGTGTTGCAGCTTCCTTCTGCTCAGCCACCCAGTCCTGAGACTCCAGTGAGTGGTAGAGGGCCAGCTGCAGTGCAGCCTCCTCCTTCAGCTGCTCAGGCTCAGGTGTACCAATGTTAGGTGCCACAGGCTCCTCCCCAGCCCCAGGTACGGTTGCTTCCTCCTCCTGCCCTGGAGTTGCTGCATCCTCTGGTTGTTCTTCAGGCTTCTCCTCCCGAAGCTCCAGGGGCTGCCAGTGCTCCGAATCTAGGCTCTCCAGAGTGGCTAGCATCTCTTGGACTTCCTCTAGGTGTAGAGAAAGACCCCTGAGTCATAGGGCAAGTCCAGCCAGGGTAGCATTGAAGGATAGAATGAGTTGGAATACATGAAAGATGGAATGAGTTGAGGTATAGAGTGGGCCTAGGAAGGGTCTCTAGACAGGTGGGAGTACAGAGTGGGGTAGAGGGTGAGGTCAAGAAAGGACCGTAGTACATTCTGGGGTCTCAAGGGAGCCCTACCCAGGCTCACATTCTCTTGGTCACTGCCTGTACTCTCTAGGAGCCACAGGGTGTGGCTATGTGCAGGAAGGACCTGAAGGGCCTCAGTGGGATCCACCTGTGGGGAGAGGATATCACCGTCATCAGCCTCTGGATGAGGGTTGAGGAGGCAACTGGGACTGGGGGCTGAGGTGCACAAAAGGGTAGGGGTGGGCAGAATTCCACCTCTACCTCTTCAGGCTTCATGTCCACGGTGGCATTGGCCAGTTGCTCTGTCCCAAAGACACACTGGAACTGAGCCTCTAGGCCCTGAAGAAGGCACTGTCCCTCCATCCCCAGCAGGAATCTGGCGCTGCCTGGGTGCCTCAGGCTCAGCATGTGACAGCTAATGCTGCCCAGCAGACTCTGTAGCAACTCCTGGGCCGCTTGGCATGGGGCCTGGGCTCCACAGAGCTACAGGACCACGGGAGAGGAAGAGTTTGCAGGTTCAGAACACAGGAAAAGTGTGAGGCCCCAGAGGGAGAAGGGCCCAGAAGTAAGGAATTCCCAGGAGTCACTCACCCGAAAGCCTGTCACATCTATTCCTTCAAGTGGGAAGAGAGTAACGTCTCCCAGGCTGGCAAGAAGGTCCTCATGATAAAGCTGCAGGAAGCGCATCGCCCCTGGCTCCATCGACAATACCATCTCCACCAGGCCCACCTGCCCCAGCAGCCCCACATGCCCTGGGCTCTCCAACCCAGCCTTCTCTGGAGACTTCATGGTGATCTCCACTGGCCACACCAGCCCCTCCTGCCCCAGTGAGCTCATGGCAGCTCCCAACAGGGCCTCCTCCTCTGCCAGATCCAAAGGCCCTGGGTCCTCCTGCCCCAGCAACCTCATAGAGATCTCCATTGGGCCCACCGGTCCTGCACATCCCTTAGGCTCTGGGCTCTTGAGACCAGCCTGCTTGGCAGATCCTATAGTTCCCAGGCTCATAGGCCCCTCCTGCTCCAGCAGTCCCATAGGACCCTGGTTCACTAGCCTCTCTTGCTCCAGAGACCTCACAGCTCCCAAGTCAGCTAGCATGACCTGCCCTGGAGATCCCTCATGACTTTTTCCCAGAGAGGATCTCAATTGCCCTGGTGCCTCCCCAGAGTCCACTGCACCCTTCAGGGACCCTGCCAGCCTTCCAGCCTCTGGGAGAGCATAGTGTATGGCTCCAGGCCCCATTGTGGATGGATGGTCCCCTCCAGCAGTGCCCTCAGCAAGCTCCTCAGGCTCCAAGACTTCATAGTGGGGGACAAGGCTCAGCTCTGAGCCCTGCAGCCAGTGGTTCCGCTGCAACACCTGTTCAGCCGCTTGGAGGAAGAAAGAAAGTCCATCAGGTTTCTGTGGGAGAGGGAAGGTCCCACTGGGTCTATCCAGCTGACTCACTCTGCCATTGCTGGAAGGAGATGACAGTGCCCAGCTGTCTAGGCAGGCTGTGCAGGCCCTCCAGGGGACCCCCACCACTTCGGCGCTCATTTTCCAGGTACAGCTCCAGCAGCAGCAGGTCCACAGGTAAGCTGTCCCCTATCACACGCACCGCTCGAGCCTGGGGCACTCGGGCTAGGGACACAGAGGCTCCATCTAGGTCCAGATTCTGGGCCTGCTCCTCCAGGATCCGGAAATCTGTAGGAAATGTGCAGGTATGCTTTGGGCATCTTCCCTAATCAGCACCTCAGCCCCAGTCCCACCTCTTACCTGCTTCAGGAAGGGGCATAGACAGCTGGACCAGGGCCCGATCGGGCCTGGGGCTGGCCAGGGCATGGCAGGGCTGCACTGGGTGTCCTATGGCACACAACAGGGCCTGAACATGCTGTTCCAAGCGCTGGGGTGTGGTGCCAGGTGGCAGTCCTTGGAGGAGCAGACGTGTAGAGGCACATGGCGGGGCTGGCCGCAGGCACAGCCAGGCACCTTGCAGTTGGTGCTTTGCCTGGTCCAATACCCTCTGAGCATCTGTGAGCAGGGGCAGGGCATCAGGGCTGTGGTGGCATCAAGGTAGCCAAGCTGCCCCCTTCAGCCAACCCTCTCACCTTCAGGTTCTCGAAAGGTAAGGATGCCCCCATGGCCAAGTCTCTGCCAGCTCAACACAGGCCCCCCACCAGAGCGTCGGCGGTTCTCAAAGTACAGTGTGAGCAGCTCATCTGGCACGTGGGGGGTCAGCCCATGGACCTCCACTGCCACCCCCACCGCCTCCTCTGCCATCACAACCCTGAAATGGAACATTAGGGTAGAGAAGAGGCCAGCTCCACCCCTTCTAGGTCCTACAGGGTCTGTCCAGCTGACTGGATTACCCCTCCTACTCCCTCCCAGGGCTCCTTGCCTATATCCTGTGTACCACCTCATTGTAGGCAACCCCATTTCCCACACTTACACTCCCCTGCCACCCAGGCCTTCAAGGTGGTCTAGCAGACTGCCTGCACTTCCGCCTGGGATCTAACAGGAAAACAAAAGTGAAACTGACTGACTAAAGGAGGAGGGAGGGGCCAGGCCTGAGGCCAGGGCCTGGGTTCAGTGGCCCAAGTGCTTCCTCTCCTGCTGAAGTCTCAACCTCAGCCTACCAGGAGGTGATACCCAGGCAGACCCCTCAGTACTCTCTCACCAGCCCAGCCATTGGCCCCCTAGCACCTACTCCAGCCCCTGCCTTGGCAGAGTGGACAGGAGTGTCCTCTGACTGCCTTCTATTTCTCAGGCCTTTCCCTGTAGCCTGGAAATGGCCAAATCACCTTCCCCACTAAATTTCCAAGAGGGCTGAGTAACTGCCCCTCATGTAGGGGCTCCAGGCTTCTGTCAGTATGAGCAGCACTGGATCTCCACACCTGTACTGGCTGAGGCTGACCTTCAACTACTTTCCCGGAAATGGTCCTTAATATCACCAGAGGAAGCCAGATGTGGTGGTGCACACATATAATCCCAGCACTCAGGAGGCTGAGGCAGGAGGATCATTACGAGTTCAAGGCCAGTGTCTCCTCTCGGCTACATAGTGAGTTCAAAGCTGGTCTGAACATGGTGAGACCTTGTCTCAAAAAAAATCACCAGAGGACCAGGCCTCACACATAAGTGCTGAGAGTAGGCAGCTCCGCCCTTGACCCCAAAGACCCTCATCTCAGCAGAGGTCAGATTAAAGTTAGAGGGTGGCCTCTCGTTCTCCCAGCGCTCTCTAGCCCTCACATCCGAGTAGCCCTTCCCATCTCATAATCCTTGCCCTCATCATGACCAGGCACAGAAGATGCAGGCACTGTGCTGACATGCCTGCTTCCAATAATCCTGACCACAGAAGGAGAAGTGGAGGAACAGTCAGGGTCAGAGCACTACCAGGCT